GGCAGGCAGAGAGAGAGGAGGAAGCAGGCTCCCTGCGGAGCAGAGAGCCTGATGTGGGGCTCAATCCCAGGACCCTGGGATCATGACCTGAGCTGAAGGCAGAGGCTTAACCCACTGCGCCACCCAGGCGCCCCTCATGTGGGTTTTTAAATTCGCAGAACCTGGCTCTTGAACCATGGGTAAAACAGGGACATGTCCGTAGGACAGGACTATATAGAGATAGTGTTGAACGGCCTGTACATGATCTTGTGCGCCGAGTGGTGATAAATTTAGATCAACTCATCCTCACTTTTTCGCAGGGCCTACACCTCTCCCCTGACCTGCTCCCTTGGGGGTGCCGTCTGTGCCCCCTGGCTTTCAGCTGTCAGCAAGGCCAAGTTGTGCTCTAGGTAACCTCATTTTCAGCGGGTGGACCATGAGAGATGGGAGCGCTGTCGAGGACCGGAGCCAGAGTGTTATTTTCTGAAGCAGAAGGGGTTTCATCATTTTCCACCTCTTCTAAAAAAGCAGGTGCAATTTATTTCATCCTCCTCCTAGAAAATTTGGGATCTATTCATGCGAGAGACTAGTAGCCTTTCACATCTGATTTAATTTAATGCAGTCACAGCAGCCTCCTGATTATACTTGGGGAAAGAACCCACAGCACTTGAAATCTCGGTGTGGGAATGGGCAAACCAGAGATGCTGTAGCTGGGTCTGCTTTTTCCTGTGCAAGTATAAAAGAAAAACGCCGGGTTCCTGTGGTTCTATACTCAATAATCTTGCTTCTGCTGAGATATATGGTTGGTGCCAAGTTTAAACTAGGAGAGAATTTTTAGTCACTACATACCCCAAAAGGGAAGTTTTAACATAACGCAGTGCCCAGACTTGGGCAGTACAAATAGCTCCTCTATAATCAGTACCAAGGGTGTCCCTCTAATCATCCTCTGAAACAAAGCACCCTTAACTGTGCCACTGTGAGCCAAGGAACCCAAGCTCGCGAACAGGAAAGGTTTTTTTTTTTCCCCTATAAGTCGTCACCTTGTGTAACTCGTGGAAGAGTAGATTCTGAGATTAATGTTGTGCGGTGTAAAGCTAACTTGAAAACAGAAAATAATACTCAAAGCTTAGGCATGAATAAACAGCAGCACCTGGAGATTTAAAGGCTGGAGGGGGGTGGAGGTGGGGAGTTGCTGTTTTCTCATTTCTCAGAGATCTCAGGCAGTAGTTTTCTTTAACCTTTTGTGTCTTGGGGCGCCGGGGTGGCTTAGTTGGTTAAGCGTCCCACTCTTAATCTCAGCTCAGGTCTTGATCTCCGGGTCACGAGTTCAAGCCCTGTGTTGGGCTCCACACTGGGCTGGGCACGGAGCCTACTTTAAAAACAAGACAAATGAAACCTCTTCTGTCTTGATGGCCTTCCTCGAAGATATCCCACCCGCGCCTTCAACCCCCTTTCCATAGGACTGGGACCCATTTGGCAAAACTTCAGATATCCATCATTCGTTTTTCTAATTTTCCAGGATTTACTTGTCCTCCATTTGTCCCCTTCGCCAGGGTCACTAGCTCCCATTCCTTTGCATCCACCTTCTTTCTCACTAACGTTGTTGAACCCAAGATAGGAGAAAGCCAGCAATGGCCCTGTGCTTGGGATATCGAGTTCCGTCTCCGTGCCCATGAAACCACACCAAAGAGTGCAAAGAGTAGAAGCAGATTTCAATTCTTATCAGATTCTCTGTTTCCATTTGGTTTTTAAAGAGAGGAACTTTCCTGAATTCTTGGAGGTACTAAGCATGTGGTTTAATGCGTATTTTCATGCTTGTTAGCAGCTTAAAAATAGTGTTTTAGGGACTGTATTTACAATTACTAAGAACCATTTTTTTTTTACTAATCATTTTTCATGGGACTAAGAAGGGAAGATAAACTAGGAAAGCAGTAAATATAGGAAACCACTAATGCTATCTCTTTCCTCCTCCTCTGATCCGCTGTTTTGGCTTATAGAGTGACTTGGAAAATGTATCTTACACGAAGAAAACTTAGACAACAGAGAGCTTAGAAAAGCAACAGCTGAGGTGGGGACAGGAAACCCAGGAGGGGGGTTAATGTCGATGAATAACGCACAGCGCTTTTGCTCTAATAAGAAGGAAATTGGTTCATTTTCTGTTGTCACTTTTGTTTCAAACGCTCCCCCCCACCCCCATAAAGCAGTGTGTCTTGAGAACTCCAGGAATGTACGAGTTGCAAGAATGCATTCTTAGTCTTCCCTGGACCTTAACTGGGGGGTCAGTCTTGTGGCCATGGCGGCCACAGTCACCTGCAGTATCGCTTTGAACAAGAGGAAATAAAGCCCACTGACTGCCAGATTGTATCACCAAGGCCATGCCCTTTGCTTTGCTGGAGAGAACCTGAGCAAAGCAGACTATTACTTAGATTTGTGAACTAAGGCGGGGGTCTGTGCCCACTGGAGGCTGATGGGGAGAATGGACAGCTGATGGAATAGGGAAGGGATGGAAAGAAAAGTACGGTTGACCCTTGAACAGAGCGTGCACGCACACGCAGTCAGAAATCTGAGTATAGCTTTTGACTCCTCTCCCCAAAACTTAACTATCAATAGTAATAACTGATTCCTAATAACACAGTTCACGTGGATTTTGCCCGTGTATTACATACAGTGTTAAAATAAGCCCGAGGAAGGAAAATGTTAAGAAAATCACAAGGAACAGAAAAGACACTGCTAGCACTGCAAAGAAGAAATAAGTAAAAACTCGTAGAAGTGGGCCCATGTGCTTTAAACCTGGATTTTTCAAGGGTCAACTGTAAGTGACTTTGGCCCAACTGTCTGGGGCTAGCTGTAGGGTCCAGGGAATATTCTGATAACTCAGCAGTCCCGAAGAATAAGGCTCCAGGTTAGCCC